AGTTAAATTCATTGACCTCTACATAGCCATAGAGGGTAGTCCTGAGACAACCAGTTCATACCATCCCATTATTGTAATTTCTTTGTTAATAATAAGTATTATATGAAGATTTAAAATAGGCCTGGTGAGGTGCTGGACTGGCTAAAAGTTTTCCATCTCAGTCTTTAGTTTAATTTAAACTGAGGAGTGCGTTCTGTACGTGAAAACAGACCCACTAAGACAGAAAATCTTCTGCACTTGTGTGGTTTCACCCCGTGTACAAAATAGAGATGAATTATCAGTGAATTTTACTTTTTATCTCTCAGATCCTTTGAGTTAATAACATGTGTGACCATCTGTGTGAAAAAATGCATTAAGTGAACTCAAATTAACTCAAGATATCACCCTGCAGACTACAGACATGGATACATAATGTCTCCCTTTAAACACACGTATAGAGAGAATCACACGCTCTTAAGTGGCTAAACTATAGCGCTTTCTGTTCTATTTAAAAAAAGAAACTGAGTCAAGACACTGCTGAGATTCTTTTCCCCAGATTTTTGTCAGCATAATCTAAAATAGAGTTTAGAAACCCCAAAAGCACTCAAGCCCTTTGGTTGTTACTGCTTCTAAAACATTAGCTCAGCATGCCCAGTTTTCCGAATTAGCATGCCAGTGAGATTAACTGGTCTTAACACTTGTTCTTTTTTGCCTGCTGATCTGCACAGGCTATTAAAGAGAAAAACTGTAGAGAACAGATCTGCATTACATGCCAGAATTTCATTAGGGCTGTAACTCGATCCATTTTATGGCATGACTCATGGATTTACCCAATTTGGCTCTGCTACCATCGGTCATAATTGGCAGTTGTGTCTACAATTGCACTGGGCGGAGTGATTTCTATATGACTGATTATTCTGGCAGAAAGAAACTTTCATGTGGGAATAGTGATGCCGGCTGCCATTCAGAAGCTGAGGGATGCTCAGATCGACTCTTTTCATGCATTCAAATTGACAGTGTGTTCAGCTAAATCTCTATAAATCCCTCCATTCTTTCAGTATACTGTGGCTATGTAAAAGTTGCACAATAAAGTACATATAGGTTGATGCCTTTCAGCACTGGATTACCATGATTGATTAAGAAATAAAGCAGTGATCATTTATTTAACACTTTTTCCTTCCTGAGAAAAATGCCATTTGCCAGATTGTTTCCTGGCCCTGGCACTCTGCTAAAAGAATGTGAAATGGAGCATGGAGAAAGGCCTGGCCACTGCTAATGACTGATTTACTTTCTTTTCAACTGCATCCCCATTTCAACAGTGCACAACAATAAACAGCCCATTAGGGAGACTCAAAATAGTTAGAATTTAGTCGAATAAATCAACAACTGAATCATCTAACATCCATCATTTTTTTTTTTTTTTTTTTTTTTTTTGTTTGTAGAATGGAGGCACCGACATTAATGCCGGGTCAGCAATGCTAAGCAGACAGAGAACAAAGTAATTTCTGTCAGAACTGTGCTATCAGACATCTGTCAAAATAAAAACAGAATAAAAATACTACAAATGCAAGGAACACACCATCAGCATCCTCTTGAATCTGAACATGGAACACATGGTTGATGATATGCTCAAATACTACTGTGTATACTGAACAAAAGGCTTTAGTGCAACACTAAATGAAGAGGAGTCGGCTGAATGGCAAGAACAACATCCAGGCTATCAACACCTTCACTCTGCCGGTGGTCAGGTATCCTGCTTGGATAATACGCTTGCCAAAGAAGAAGACAGAAGCCACTGATATCAAGAAGAGGAAACTCCTTACAATGCATGAAGGTTTCAACCAAATCCAGCACCCTGAGACTGTATGCTAAGCGGAAGGAAGCCGAGGTCTAGTGAGTGTCAGTACCAAAGTCCAGGATTAGACAACGAACATCCACGAGTACATCAGGAAGATAGGGACAACTGACCATGTGTTTAGTGAATACCTAACGCAGCAGAAACCCAAGAAAGACGAGGAGCGAGAGGAGGAACCGTCATGGAAGGACAGGCCCTTGCACGGTGGTCCTGGGGTCTATCACACCAGGCAAGACCCCAGGTGCAGGCTGTGTAAAGATGCCCCTGATACAATCCAACACATAACAGCATGGTGCAAGATGCTAGCAGGCAGGGCATATATGGAACGCCATAACCAAGTGGCCAGCATAGTTTACAGGATCCTGTGAGACTTCCAGATACAGATGGACAAACTGGTGATGGCTAACCAACCGGAGATAGTAGTAGACAAGCAGAGGAAGACGGCCATAGTGATAGATGTAGCGATAATGAATGACAGCAACATCAAGAAGAACAGTGGTCCTAGTGGTATTCGGAGCACTCAGTAAAGTGACCTCCAAGCTAGGCAAGTGGCTCCAGCAGATCCCAGGAACAACATCTGAGCTCATCCAAGGTCCCTCAAGCTCTCAGGCAGAGGACCCAATATATATAAGCAAGACGGTGAAGCTGCCCTTGCTCAGTGTGAGAGGAGACCTTCTTTGAATTACAAAGAGTTCATTCAGTTCCAGAAATGAATGAGTCATACAGGAAGACATATTTCACTGAAAGCACGCTATGGCCACACCATTCATATATATCATGCATTGTCAGTAAATTAGGATTCAGTTAAACCCCAATTAAGCTTCAAAGAAAAAAAAAAGAACACGCTAGCCATCAGCTCAAAAAGGCAGTGTTTTTACCAGTAGCTGTATTTGTATATGTAAGCCAGGACAGATGTGTGCTCAGCTGTTAGGACTTTGACAGTCTGAACCACCGAGTTAGGCTTTCAGCTTAAAATCATTCAGAGTGAGGCAGATGAGATAGTGGAGTACTCAATATATATCGTAGCACTAATTCAGCATTTATAATGCCTTGGGCCTTAACGTCAATATTTTAGTTCTTTAGTGTTTTGGTCTGAGTTTGTAAAGCTCACAGCTTTTACTTCAAATACCACAGACAATTGAAGAAAGACTGCGCCACTAAACTGCACCTTTTGACCATTCCTTGACTTGAATGTGTGCTGAAGTCAGTCCCAGACACTGATTATGTAATCAGCAGCTGCTTTTACAAATCAGACCGTAATCACATCCAGAGTGTGAGAGAGAAGCGAAAAAAGGACTCAGACATTTCACCTTCCAATCGAAAGCACAAAGACCTTCAAATGCTGAATGTTTGAAGACTTCAAGAGTTTGAAGACTTTTGGAAGACATTACCATCACAATTATTTAGAAAGAGTTTACATATTCTTTCTGATTACTCTGGTTTTCTCCTACAGTCCAAAGGCATGCTTGTTAGTTAATTAGTGATTCTAAATTGGCCACAGGTCTGTCTCTTTGTGCCCTGCGATAGAACAGAGACCTGTCGGGAGTGCACGCCGCCTGTCACCCTGTGACAGCCAAGGGATAAATAATTAATTCATTACAATCAATGCCTTTCATGCAGTACAGTGTGCACACTAGGGTTGTCATGATACTAGAATTTCAAACTCAGTACCGATCCCCAGAAAAATACTTGCTACGCCAAACCATTTTTCACAATGGAGGAAAAAAAATGATAAAATTAACAGACATATTGTAAAGAATGCATATTTCCTGTGGTTCTTGGCACTATATTTCATTGCTAATTAAATGAGGTTATCAAGGAACTTTACACTGTTTCTGTGTAGATGCTGGTAGACTGCTCTCACCTTCAATCTGCATTATTAGTAAATCAGGACTTTAAGGGAAATATATCACTTTCTATAGACAAATAACTACATTATCCCGTTATGTGAATATTAATATTACAGACCAGTAGAACTGATAACATTTACTGCCGAGATCCAAGATTAATGTTGTTATGTTATTATTAGCCATAGCCGCTAGCTGCCACCTCAACAATAACGGGAGGGGAAGGATAATGTGGGTGATATTTCCATCGGCTAACTGCAATGTGTGTGTCAGACAGGTAAGCATTCAAAATAACTCAAATACTTCAACATTGTCTCAAAATTCTTGATAAAGACTGAAATGTCAGCCTTTAAGCTTCGCCAAGCTTGTTCTATTCAGGTGTTTAGCTGCTAGCGTTATGAGGGGCTCTGTGAAGATGGCACTGTTAATATTGCAAATGAGTATCTGATCCAATAGTAATATTTAGCATCAATTAGTATCCAAGGATCAGTTTTTTGACAACTCTACGCGGCACTAATGCTGCCTTCTGTACTGAAAAAAAAAATCAAGTATTGTTACCTTTCCAGAATTTTGTTACCAAAAGGTGCTATAAGACATACCTAATACATGCATTTTTAACTTCTATATGTAAGTGCTAAAAAAACACAAAGAATATTAAACTTGAACTTATGTAACAGACTGAGTCACTGTTTGCTACAGCAGCTAGACTAAGTACTATACAGTAGCTGTAGCTGTAGCTGCGTATATCAACAATTTTGCAGTTCTTTAAGTCTTTCAGATTTTCCTGGATGATATATGATAGACTCAATTAATTTGCTCAGCTTGTCTACACCTATACAAGGAATACAAAAAGTCATGCACAACACAAGCAAAAACAATGGGGAATACTCATGCATAAAAGGGTCGCAACAGGGTTAATATGAATAAAACCTACAATACAAACAAATAATTTAAAGCCTCAGATCAAGCAGAGCAGCAGTAGAAACACAATATAGGAAACCCAAAGAGAAAGCCATCCAACGCTGTAGGGCAAGTTCTGACAGCTGAACCATCTTTCTGCCAATGTAACCCATGTTAGACCAAATGTGAGGCAGAAAAACACAGTTGTAAATATTGGTTTCAGCTGTTCATAGTTTCAGTGTAGTTACCAAGTTACCAAGAAACAAAAATACTAAGTAAAAATAAAGCAGACATGCCACAAACAAGCAATCAATATCAGTTCTAAATAATGTGGCAAAGTGAAGCACTATTGGCAGGTTGATGAAAACATCACGAGACACATGACATTGTGAATGTAAGAGGAGGAATGGAAAGCTTACACTGTGTTGCATTGTCCTCCAGACAGCCCTCTGAGAGCAGCAGAGAAATGAAGAAGAAAGACATTTAATTGGACATCAGAGAAATAGAGAGACTGAGAGAGAGAATAGGGCCAAAATAATGACTAGTTAGTGAAGCAAAAAGTTAAATGATAAATGGTGCTGCTAAAATATTCTATTCACCAGCCTATGAGATTGAGTACCTCAAACCATTTTATTCACAATACATTTTCCAGTGTGAAATCAGCTGCTATCAAGTCTGATCAATGCACAGATCACCACCTGCATACAAACAGCAACCTAATGTGGGAACGCAGGCTGAAGTGGTCTAATGACAGTGGTTGTTTCAAGCAATGCAATGCAATCAGTTTAGCAAAATACGCCAACTTTTTAATACTTCAGTGTTTCACATGTATTTGTACTGTAAGTATTACACATAACACACCTAATAAATTTACACAGTGAGATGCAAGTACATTGAAGAACGGGTTAGATATGTTTTCCTGAGCTACCCAGTTCCCACTTCCTGGAACAACTTTTCAAATCTTTTGCAAGCAGCAGGCTGGAGTGCATGTAAGCATACATTATTAAAGATAGTGAAACCAGTGGGTTTTCTCTAAATGCGCTTTTGCCTTTTAGATTTTTCCCACACATTTTAATGTGCATGTTATGAATCAGAAAAAAGTGGATTTGGTTCTAATTTTCAAATGAGGCCTGAGTGTAAAGATACGGAGTGTTCAAGAATAACACTTTAAAGGTTCTGGACATCTTTTATACAGTCACTGTGGTATTCCTAACAATTACAGCTATTTTTGGAGTAAAGACTACTTATGGAGACTCTCTGCTGCCTGTAATCACGTCTCTGCTCCTTCCTTTTTTCCATTTTAATCCCATGGAACAACTTGCACAGTTGAAGATTATAAAATGTACCTTTTATTTTAAAAGACAATACTGTGTTTAATAAACGGATTTACTTGTTGGAGTGAGGATTACATAAAAAAAAACATCGTCTAAATGGATTGGCCAGAGGAAAAATTCACAGCATAAGGAGCTATTTTCTAGCCTGTGTGAGTGCACACTTCAGCTGATATTCTGTTAGTATTACTTCACAATTGTCTTTTAACTGAATTTACTTAAAGCAGTAACTGTCGAGAAACATAACATATTCATTAAAGATTTGGTAGAAGGCCATATCGTGTTAAACAGCAGGAATAGTAACAATTTCAGACTTTTATGAGTAAAAAACAATAAAATATATCCACTCATTAGGTACACCTTTTCAACTGCTTCTTTAACACAACTATCTAATCAGAAGGTCACAAAGCAACAATGCAATGCATTTAGGGATATACAGATGAGTCCAACTGAGCATCAGAATTGGGAAGAAATGTGTTTTGAACGTGGCATGGTTGCTGGTGCCAGACAGGCTAGTCTGAGTATTTCAGAAACTGCTCATCTCCTGGGATCCCCCCCCCCTCCCCAGAACTATCTCTATAGTTTACAGACAACAGTCAAAAACGAGAAAATATCCAGTAAGATGCAGTTCTATGCCTTGTTGATGCCAGAGGTCAGAGTAGAGTGGCTAGACTGCTTCAAGTTGATAGGAAGGCAACAGCAACTCGAATAAATACTCGTTACAGCCAACGTATGGAGAAAGGTGTCTCTGAATGCACAACACATCAAACCTACAGCAGCAGAAAACCACACCTGGTGCCACAGACGACTGGAAAAATGCCACCTGGTCTGATGAGTCTCCATTTCTGCTGAGACGTTCAGACGGCAGGGCCAGAATTTGGTGTAAACAACATGAAGGAGGATTGTTCCTTAGCATGTCTATCTCTTTATGGCCACAGTGCTTTATGTTAGGCATGCCTACTCATACAAGTGTGTTTCATATCCATAAGAATAAGTCAGCTTGACATGAAACACACACAGCTTAGTTAATATCAGGTGCATCGCTTTTGCTGCTACATGACAGCAGCACATATTTTGTAGCAACAGGGGAAAAGATGAGGAGTCGTGGGCTGTGAGGCCCGGTTTAACATCGTATCAACTTATGGGCTTCTGCGCAGCTCTATAGCGAAGCTTGACGTTGACAGCCTCCTACACAATGTGCCTCAGTAGCATCAGGGGGCTCCGCAGACCTTTTTTTGTAGCCTCAATTAATGTCTTAGCATTTTTTCATCATTCTGACGTTTGGTGGGTGGATGTTGAATCTTTTGTATGCTGTTGTTCACTCAACATTTTGCACATTTTGGGATAAGGCTTGGGCCTTACCCTTCTCTCATGCTCACGAGGAATATGTATTAAACAACATGTCCAGCTTGTGTTGAAAAAGCGTGTGCTGTTGTGATTTTTCTCTGTAACCATCAGCAGTGAGTGAAAGAACAGAAATATTTTAAGTCCGAGTACAGCAGCAGTGGAAGTCACACAGCACCTGGGGGCTATATGGACTATATGAACAAGCCTCTATTTTTTCTGGCCTTTTGACATGAGCCCCAGTAAGTCGACCTTAAACTCAGCATGCCACCACCGAGTCTGCCTCTGCCAATAAAATTTCAAAAACACTCCACTTCTGTACAGTGGAAATCAGTTGAGCTTTTGAAAAATGTGAGAAAGGAAGCGTGTTCTGCATCCTTTGTTGGCAGAATCCTGACTTCTTTACTGGAAATCATCATGCATTAGCACCGCATGAGTTAGGCTTTAAAGTCAAGGCTTTGTATTCGAGGTTTGCTTTAGGAATGGATCAGTTCTTCCACATATTATTATTATTATTATTATTATTTCATCTTTCAGTCATCTCTGGAGCTGTTTATATCACAAAGGTAATTATTATTTCATTTAATTTTTATAACTGCATTTTTCAATCCAGGTTTACAGTACTGGCGAAATTATCTAGTCTCGGTGCATACCAGTCTATCCAGGCTTGTTCCAGCTGCAGTGGTTGGCCTCTCCTCAGGGGTGTAGGGCCTGAAACGCCCACTGAACACATCTGAGATGCCCCGCACAGACCTGCCTATTCCTGATGGCTTTGGTTGGCCACACCCTTGAAAGACCTAAAAACAGAAGAGAGGTACACAAAGTTACCGCAGAGAAAAGGCAGACGCCAGGGAAAAGAGGACAAACTGCCCAGTTTTGTAATAATAATGCAAGATTTCCCCATAATAATGACAGCGAACTTTGCAGTGATAAATAATTTAGTTGTCAGCATTCAGAGGATGCACAAAACTGCACTGAGCCAGGGCTGAGTCTGTTACTTTGTAGATTACACATCCATTTTGATCCCACAAAACTTGTACTTTGCTCTACCACTGATATTTCTCCCTCTGTCAATTTGCTCTCAGCACCATTTCTGCTCTGTGATTTGAGACAGCCAAACTGTAGAGAGCCGTCCTGGAACCAATACTGTCTATCAGTGATGAGTCTCTTTTTAAATGAAGTGTGATATTGTTGGGAGAAAAGGAATTAACCCTTGATATGTTGTTACTCAGTTGTCCTAGCGAGACATAAAATTAAGAAAATCTGACATCTGACCAGGATTCTGTGTCGCATCCTTGCTTTGCATCCACGTTATCACAAACTACAACTGAAATGAAGCTGTCAGCGTACAGAAGAGATAAAAGTAATAGGCTAATTTTATTCTAAACTGCAAATAGGAAAACTTTTGGGAGAGGAAAATGCAGAATTGTAGCAGTTTGTAATATTTAGTGTTACATGGCTGAGCGATACAGAGAAAGTAACTACCCGGGAACAATGTAAACCCGCACACACATTGGCTTTTTTAAAAGGAAAGTTCTTAAATTTAACAAACAAAAGTTCAGTTGTTTATGCTTTGAGAAGTGCAGATTTACCACTGGAATCTCGCATTAATCAGTGTGTGGCTCATAGAGGTTCATATGAACAGCAGATTGCTTTTAAGGCCCAAACAAGACACCTCCAAACAGCACAGCTCATTAGCATTCATCCCTGGCACATTTACTGGCCCCTGGCTCAGTAGTGATGGAGCACCCTAATGTATTAGATGGCTGTCATGACAAGAGACTGCTTTTTTCTAATATTTAGCAATTCTTCACCATGATTACGCTTCCAATATCTTGTACATCGCACAAGCAAAATGTTTTTCAACAGGTTTGAGGAGCAGTAAACGAAGAACAAGACAGCTCAGGGAAATGGTCAAAATGTGAAAGATTATAATCTGACACCAATCTGTCAGCCAAGCACAGCCTCAGAGAAGTGAGACGTCAAGCGCATTGACAAGGGGGTTAAGTTGGACATTGACAGCTGTTTGATATGGGAGACAATGTGACGGCTAATTCACAGTGACTTTTGTAACTCTGGCATGGAGATGGGCCACACGTAACCATCAGAATAACAATGATGAAGTGAAAAAGCTGCCTTTTGACAAGAAAGGCAGTGAAAAACCATCCACTGTGTGATAATATCCTAATTGTGCCACTTCATATTTAAAATGTGCCAAAGACCAATTTACAATATGAAGTCTAAAGAGGACAAAGACAGAATTAGCAGCGAAAACGTTAATATGTCCTGTCCCAAATTTTAGATATGCGAATACAATTGTGATGTTTAGGAGACTGTGTTATGTGTAAAAGCTTGTCACAGGGCTCCAAATATATGTTGCATTTACATTTCACAGATTGACATATTTCTGCTGAATCATGCAGATTCATATGAATAACAAAATAAAAAGGGACAATGAGATGAGAAGTTGAGGACTGCTAATATAGTCCAGTTATTATGCTCATTATTTCCTGGATGAGATATTAGACAAGGCAATTTTTTATGCTACTTGTGGTTTTACACTACTTAAAAATGTACACACTGTTTATCAGGTCAGATATTGTGTGTGTGTGAACACTGTTTTCAGCACAAATTCAACAAAGTCAGCACAGCTTCTTCAGGATACAGTACCTTGGCTGACACTTGCATGCTGTTGTCCTGCATAGTCATGATAGCGTCAGAGATCTTGATGTCAATTGGTTGTATAACTGCTTCAATATTGGAGGGGCCTTGCAGCCTGTCTGCCACCAGCAGCATGGCATCTGTCAAAACACAGAGGACACATGTCAGTTTAGAAATATTTAACACAAATGGATTGGTTCTCCATTATGAGTGAGTATCAGTATGTTAACATTGCATTTGAGTATTATCAGCTTTCAGCACAAAACCCTCAAAGTATTAAGCTCTGCGACTGCGACACTGATTTAAACAACAGGGCAAACAACTGTCTCGAGATTGTCTTGACAACCAAAAATTACAAATCCGAAAAGGAACCTGCAATTTCCATTGTTTTTGTAGGTTGAAATAGTACATCAGGTAGAAAATAAGTAAAACTACTTGCAAATGAATCAGCCTTTTCATGTTCAGCGACATGCGATACAGTTCAGTAGGAAATATTAAAGTCAGAAGTTTTTTTTGTAGAGGAAAGAGGGAAGCATCATCATGGCAACTATGACAACAAAGTTTAAAAAGACTGGCAAAGATTTTTACCCAAACAATGATGTTTTTTGATGCCTGACCTTAACCAACTAGCTTTACTTCTCACATATGAATCAAACTTGGTGTAAAAGTCAAAAGAGTTTAATCCAGCACTGCCAAACCAACATCTAAATGTTGACTTTTAATTATAGATTTTTTTTCCAGTTTTCAATTCAATTCAATTCAATTCAATTCAATTCAATTTTATTTATATAGCGCCAAAACACAACAACAGTCAGTTCAAGGTGGTTTATATTGTAAGGTTTAGACCTATGAGACCCTACAAGCAAGCGCTGGGCGACAGTGGAAAGGAAAAACTCCCTTTTAACAGGAAGAAGCCTCCAGCAGAACCAGGGAGGAGCAACCATCTGCCACGACTTTAATCTAGTTTTATGACTAAAAAAGGATGAAAATATAGTAATGACATATACAGCAAAGTAAATAACATATAATTTAAAAAAAACAAAACAAAACCCACACATATATTCACAACACACTGGCAGGCTCTGTGCTTGTCTTAATTTAATTGCTGCATCTTCTTTTCTTTAAATGTGTCAGAATATTTTCAGTGAATAACATCTCTTGAGACTCCGGTGGCTACTGAATGATGCACCAGGAATGATTAATGAACTGATTACCAATCATCTCGGGACCTAAGCCAACACATTCTTCTTCAGTGGATTGTCTCTTTTTAAACAACATGACATCTTGATTCATGGATCCAAACAGTTCCACTTTAGTCTCATCACTCTGTTAACAGAATCCTTCAATCTACAGGCTGATCTGTTACTTTCGTCCACATTTAAGTCAGCTTGTGTTTTGTTTTACTCGGTAAAAGTGTGCAGCAAAAGTGCCGTCATGAAGTCCCTGCTTGCAAACAAAGCAAAGAGTCTAAAGGCACTTTAGCAGCGTTTTGATTCTCGCGTGTTTCGCTGTGAAGACAGATACTCTGCTACATCTGGTAGATGTTCACAGTTTTGATTTCCCATGTGAATTTTGTAGCCTGCTCTCTTTTCCAGCAACACACCTATAAATCATCGGTGTCATGGCTTGTGTTACTTAAGTGTCTGTGTTTGTATTTTATTTCAAAACCCCGATGAAACCTTCCAGCTGAAAAATATAGCTATGTAATATTTCCTTGACAAAGTCCTTGCTTGTTTAGTGTTCTTCTTATACTCTGCAGATTCTTTGTTCTTGCTTTCATTAAGTCTTTGGCAGTTGTGTTTATCCAGTGAGGTTTCCTGCTGTACAGTGACTTTAGTATCATGCTGCCAAAACTGTATCTTGGAATTTGAAGTCTTTGAGCAATCTTTAAAAAAAATGGTTTAGTTAAATAATTTCTTATCTTAGCTTTTGAGACAGCACCTTTATCTTATCCAGGTTTGCTGCAGAGCTTGGACACCTGCATAGGTGAGAATAATGCCTGCACAGGTCGGTCTAGAGTTCCCAGAAGCTTAATTATCTTTTGACAGCCCTATATTACAATTTTTCCTTTTTAAAAGAAGGTGGTGATGCTCTGGAAATATAAATAACAGGGGCAAAACCATAGATCCTTCTCACAACACACCAAAAACACCCAATTTCCCATTTCAGTGTTTTACAAAGGCATAAAAATGCCCCCATCTCTCTTTCTGACATGTCATTGGTGCTCGTGCCCTCCATCTGCTGCCTGTTGTTTTGGACCCTCTACCACCTGTAGGCTCTGGGCAATATTTGCTCATCACTTCCCAATTTTATACATAGACTATTTGTGCAGAGTGATGAGCCTAGATGCCAAGCTCTAACAATATTCTGCTGCTGTAAGAAATGAATCATTAGGTTAATTTGCAAATGCTCAGTGACATAAATGAATATAGGAAGAGCACACCAGAGAGGCTGAGTCATGAAGAAGAAAAGGTAAGGGGAGAGGAGTTAACTGGGAGAAAAGGCAAGGGCAAATAGATCAACAATTTAAGAAGCTGGAGAGCGTTGCTTAAAGAGCTAAATATACCCACTGGTAGGCATGTGCGAGTGTGTGTGTGTGTGTGTTTTTATGTGCACACACACCTATATACACATACATACATACATAAAGCAGGGGCCGTGACCTTGGACGACTCTCGGCACGAATCGATACCTAAAACAGATTACCCACCGAACCTGACACTTTTCATTTTCATTATAAGACTGTGATATTAATATGTTCATACAGAAGAATGGTACTATTGATTGAGTCGGGCTGGGAGATGTCTGAGGTGAAAATAATGTGTTTGATAATACACTGTCCTGTCTCTCAAAAAGTAATTAAAAGTCTCGTCTGTGGGTATAGCACTGGTTAAATGGAAGGGTAGAGATATCAAGGAGACGTCTATCTCTGTGCAGTGACATTTGCAGGGATGTGAACAAATCAGGAAAAGCCTATTTAGCCCAAAGGGCAGAAGAAACACTGTTCTGGCTCCACTGAGTCTTCAGTAATGTTTGAATCAAATGTGTAAGTCATTAAATAGATGTGATTATAACCAGAGTTCTGGCACGGAGTGATAAGTAGCCTCTAGGTCTGAAGCCTGAGGGGGCGAAGCCTGCAACGACGCTGCCAAAAAGCAGAACTTCCATCCTCTTGCATGGCCACTTAAATCAGGTCTAAATGACTGTATGCAATATAAAATGCTTAAACAACATCGAAAACTGCTTCTGCTGACAACAAATTATTTAGTGAATATGGCTCCACAGCTTTAGGTTAAAAAAACTGTGCTTTTTGAAAAAGCCGTGTTATTGTTTAACATCAACTAACAGATATGATGCAAACATGTTTACAGTAGCCAGCTGCAGTGTGTGGGCTCCTCTCAAAATTACACACAATGCCCAAGTTGATCATAACTGAGCAACGTATCAGTTGGTGACACAACGACAATGGAAGTCTGCAGAGACAATACTTGTCATTTGAGTATGATGTTGTTTTTTTGGGGTTTTGTGTGGAATCTGTTAACAGTAAGGAAACTGTAATAAAGCATCACTGCATCGGTACATTGTCTGCCACTCTCCCATCACTGCTGATGTTTTGTTGTTGCAGTGCAAGTTCGCAAATGCAGTTTCAAAACAGCTCAGTAGTTTCAAACTACTGAGCACTCCAAAAAAATCAGGGCAAGAGGCTCTTATGTCTAAATGGCAAAGCGGGTCATTTGTCAGCATGATTTTTGAGTGCGTGCTAATCGGACACCCCTGTGGTTCAGGCATGATTATGTTTAGGCAACTGAAATTACTTTCTAATGGTCAGAAAGTTGTTATTGTTGTTAAACCAAATCAATAGTCACTGATTGTTGGTAAAAGAAAGAATATAAAACCATTACCCAAGAGTCAAAACTGAGCTCTTTATCCCCAGTGACTGCTCTAAGGAACTTTTCCTGAGATTGAACTGCATAATCTCGGTTTTAATATTATGCATTATAGCCTGTGTGGAAACTTCACCTTGTTCACTAAAGAAAAGCTTAGGGGTCTTGTAAAATTGACAAATAAGATCGTTGGGGTAAGTCAGCTACAGCTCTTGCAATTACAGTGCAGCACAGAGGCACTGAGGAAAGCCAATACCATTCAAGACTGTCCTGACCAGCCATTGTGGAATGTGTTTAGCTCCTGCCTTCAGGCCAGCATTTCCGAGTGGCTATCATGAGATTTAAAAAATATAAAATCCCCCTTCTCTCAGTGGCAATTGACAGGGCAGGATATTAAGCTCACCCGCTTGACTAAGAGGAGTGATTTCGGAGACAGATGAGTACAGATGAGGGAGTACTAACCTTTTTCGAGAGGGGTCTATTAAAAACAAAGATTAAATCACTAACCTGGTATTAACAATTAACAAATTAAGCTGTAACAGCTCTCAGGTCTAGTAGGGCTGTGCAGCTACCATGCTGCAACACAGCCTATTCAAAAGAAAAAGTGTAACATTAATGTGTAACATCACTGTTATTATTACATCCTTCATTTAAACTGTTTTCAGGAGAGACCTGTGTACAAAGACATACAACCACATAATGAAATGACCTTATATGTGATCACAAATTAAGAAACATATATTCAAGAGTAGCTGCAGATAAATATATATGACCTTTTAAAATGCTCCAATGAAATAGGAGAATGTAGCTTTGTAGTTCTTTTGTAGTCTCCATTTGTAGGCAGGAAAATATAAAGTACGTAGTATAAAGTAATTCATTTTCATTTCAAGTACAGCTAATGCTAAAATGTCCTGGGACCTGACATTGACAATCTATGCAGTAGGGCCTTGTAAATAAACCTCGTGCAAGGTTGCCTGCTTTTATTCATTAGGGAGGACCATTCCACTTTTTCATGTAAGATACAATGGTGAGTAAGAAATTAATCACCTGTGCTAAATTGCAACGCATGGTGATACACAGAGTCAAGCGGCTTCAAGGTGGTTGAAGCGTGCATATAAACAATATCCCTACAATCAAGCACAGACAAAACTGTGGACTACACAGTGATCTGACTATCTGCGAATGACAAAGACCTGAAGAAACAAGATCCCAATCTCTGTCTTTAACTTTGTTGACAGGTTTTCCACACGTTTTTT